ATTAAATTACACATATATCTGTTTTATGTTTTATCTAAAAGTCTATTTAACATGTTATTTTCATTTACTGGATCATTGTGAACAGCAGTTTGTGTTATTTCTTCTTTTTTGGGTGGCTTATACTCAATTGGTGTTTCTCTTGTTTGACACTGTATTTTAATCTCGAAATTTGGCCATTCCGATTCCGGTAACTTAAGAAAACGTGGACCATCCAGCCACTCTGAGACTGATATTCCACGAGTTAAAGCGTCAGCCTGATTATACTCAGACATTACATATCTAAAGAGTTTGACATCGATTGACTCCTGGATTTCTGCAACTCGTGCAGAAACAAAGGGACGGAAAGTTTGCGGTGGTGATTTAATCCATTTTAAAACGGTTGCAGAGTCACACCATAGATATACTGGAACGTTTTTAGCATCAACAAATATCAATGACCTTAAAACAGATTCATACATTCTGGTCAACAATAAACATCCTAACATTTCCAGTCTTGGTATGGATTTTCTTCAATGGTGCAACGAGTGCTTTAGTTAAAAAGTGGCAATACGCAGCAACTGATGCGATTCCGTCGGGCACTGAAATAGAATGACAGGTATTTCATTTCATTTCAGGATACAGAGCGACATGGATGACCTACAAGATTCGTCACTAAATACAGACGATACCCATGAAGAAGAACAAGAGGTAACAGTGACTGCTACACAGGATCTTTCTCAAACCATTCACAAGACAATACAAAATAAATCAAGTCCTTGGAAGCGCAAGAAAAATGAGAGTCCGGTTGATAAAGCCTTGGAGAAGGCTTGTGCACTGTTGTCAAAAGATGATGATGAATACGATACGTTTGGTTCTTATGTGGCCTCGAAATTACGGTCACTGTCCAAGGAATCCAGCAGTAGGCAGTTAAAGCGGGTGATCCAAAGAGCTGTTCTTGAAATTTCAGAAGAAGACGAATTTGATCCATCTTACGCGACAGTACTACGTCAATCTATCGCAGTGCAACATGCAGCCCAGTTCTTAATTTTAATACAGCCACTGATGGAAGCAGTAGCGGACAACTTCAAAATCTAGATCATTCGTTTTCATCTCAGATGTATCACCAGAACTGGTGATTTATCCATTTTGAGTTTTGGAGATTGATAATTCTTTTGTTTTGGGGAACATTATGAACTACAAGATGTAAACTACCAAACTCACCTTCAGATATAGTTCCTTCAGAACTTGAAATATGGCTTGGCATGTTCCTGTAACGATGCGTGATATTGTTACTTCCGGAATGCGGAACAGGTACATTAGGCTGGTGGAAGTATCACCTGAAACAGATTTTGTTTAATTACAATTACTATTATGTGAAAGTATGAATAGATAGGGGGATGTTTCATAATATTCGAAGTAAAATCGTCTTGTAATATATTTTCTCTAAGGGATTGTTGCACGTAATTATATATTTTTAATATATATATATATACCTTGAAAATATGAAATTGAAACAAGCTATGCCTTACTATGCCTTGAAAATATGAAATTGAAACATGTTGGCAGTAAAAATTAACTATTTCTTTGGCGTTGTTGATCTAATTTAACTACATAATATATATATATCGATTTATATATTAAACAACCAATAGAGTCTCATCGCAGTTTTAACCTAACGGAGATCGGTGAATCTCGAACGAATTCACGATTGAAGCTGAAATTTGACTCTATCGGCTGTTACATTATATAATAACGTGCAACAATCCCTTTAAATGCTTTTTGAGGTCTATAAATAAAGACCAAGAAAATATTACTGTGTTTTAATTTACCTGTTGCTAGTAATCGAAGAGTGACGGCTAGGCTCTCTTTCACTGAAATAGATTCTCTCTTTTGTGTATCCTGTTTGCCAATTCTTGGTCCGACCAGCATCTCTTCAAAATCCCCTGCTGACATTCGAATGAAATTTCGGAATTTGCTGTGGTCTTCCAGTCTCAGCTCATTCATCAAGGAACGAACGGCTCCCAAGGACTCTCTTCGTTCAATCCAGGCCCTAACCCAGACCTTATGCACTCTTTTTCTGTTTCGTCTGTCCATTGATTATAATTATAGCCGTATGAGGTATTGCCCTTGTTCTTAAAAATGCGTTCAAGTTTTAGCCTGTAGACACTCTAGAAGGCCCAATTCTTGATAGATTTTGATGAAACTTGGTAATATTATTCAGTATAGCCTCAAAAAGTTCAAGAGAAGTGTTGAGTATTTCATACTAGTAATTGTTACTATACTGCCAAATATTTTTATTTAAAATCAAAGCTGCCAGTGGGAGTATATTACCTTGCCTGGCAAGCTATCTTTACAGATGAAAGTCAGTTTTGTCTGTTCAGAAACGATGGCAGAGTTAAACAGCTTAAACAACATATAACGCCTCCAGCGAACCGACAGGAACGTGAACAGACTCTAATGACCTTATTGATCCCTGCTGACGTTATCTGCCGACTGACTTCAATGAGGGGTGTAATGGCGTTCATGGGAACATCTGAGAACAAAATTATTCTTGAAACAAGAAAGTTGCCACACTCGCTATTGATGTCCCATGGAATGGATTTTTTTACATTTTTAAAGATGGGTTCCCTTATTTTCATTTATGAAAATGAAAATGCTAATACTTGTATGAATAGAAGGTAGATGTGTTCTAATGACTTGGAAAAATACCAGTTTGTATCACATGTCCATAATTAATTCATAATTAGGTAAAATTAGAAGAGAATTACCAGCAGAATTCCAACTTGTGACAGATTAAGAAGGTCAAAAAGCCTTTTTTTTTTGTTTATCCAGACTGTACAAACATGGACATTTATGATTGGTTAAAACTAATAATTATATGCAATAGGAACAAAATGATATGATTAAGAATACATGATAATTCATTAGTAACACGAATTAATCAAATGGTTTGCTCAATTTGACACTAAAAAATAAGGAAACCCATCTTTAAATAAACTATTTGTGTGATATTTTTGTTTGGACCCTTTGACTTTTCGTAAAACGAAAATTTCTGAGCAACAAAAATAGCAATAAACAGAAAATGGGCTGTAGAGGGCGTGTTATTTGACACACTTTCAAAATGTGTCCATAACTTCCAGAGTTTTCGGTGGTATCACTTCCGGTGGAACCGACTTATGTTAATTTGAAAAAAAATACGCACCGAAAATAACACATGGCCGCCATCTTAGATTGACTCATTTCGGGGAAAATCTATTCAGAAGCTATTTGTTATCTGATTTGCGCAATTTTGGGGTTAAAGGATACATTGAACGTTTATCTAGGTCTAAGTCTATAGCCCAATTTCGATTTTCATTTTTGCCTTTTTTGTACGACCGGATTTTTTTTTAAGGGCGTATAACCCATGACCTTGACCTTCATGTGTACTATAATGATAATTTGTATATCTTGACTATCTGATGACCTTTTGTCCTTTGGGTTCAAACCACACTTTCCGATTTTAAACAGGACTAAAAATGATTCATTTGTATACTTGTAGTGCTGTATCTCGGAGCCTAATAGAGATATAGCAATTGCGCTTTCCAGCTACAATGCAAAATGTCTATGTAGCATACATATTTTAAAACGCCATTCGTTTAACATTGTGGTATCATATAAAAGTCGGTTAATTAGCCCTGTCAGTATATATAGAATTAATGAGTTTAACATGTCGGTTAAAGCTCCCCAATTTTCTATCAGAAATGCATTATGTCAAGTTTGCGCAAAAAAATACTTTCTTGGGTGGATTAAAGTGTCATGCTGTAAGTTGAACTTTCTAAAGCACCCTACGCCTTAATATACTTTCTTATTTCTTATCCGAATTTCGTCAAACTTGGTATACACTTGAATGTTCGATTTGTGATTTGCAGGAAAATATGCACATTACCAACATTCTTATTTCTTTCTAATTTCACCAAACTTGGTATGTATGTGTATAATCAAAATCTAAATTTAATGAAAATATTGAATTTTTGTTGCGTATGCGCATTACCAACTTCCTTATTTCTTAATTTATGTTGTATAATGAAATATTTTGAATATGACGGAAATATTAAATTTGCATAGTGTACATGCGCATTAACAACTTTCTTATTTTCTGTCCAAATTTCATCGAATTTCATATGTTTAGTGTGTATTAAAATTCTGAATTTTATGGAAACATTGAATAATCCAAATTCCAACTCGTATATATGTGAATAGACAGTCTCTGAATTGTAGGGATTTATTGGAATTTGTGTAGTGCGCCTAATATGTCCACGTTCGTATGTGGAATATTTATGATGTAAAATTTTCGGTTAATGCGGTGATTCTGGTTCCGCATGGCTGTGATTAGGAACCAATTATCAAATTCTACAGTAACTAGACTTACTCGACAAAGATCTGTCTGCTTCTGAGCTATTTTACGTCGTCTGCATTTATATTTCGTTAAACATAACTATTTTATTATTTTTATTTTATCAGTCAAGTGCAATAACTCAAAAACTACTCATTATTTAGATTATTACAAAAAAATGGTAATAGCCCTCATCGTCGAAGTGATCATTTTGCTCTTTGAGAATGAGAATATAATTTTCCTTAAAAACCGTATTTAGTGATTCCAAATGCCTTCAAATAAGATTCTGCCGGAGTATTATGTAAATGACTGCACATTAAAGAGAAAATATGGCATTGTACTATTTTGACCGCAACAACATGATTCTTTTCTCGAACGCTAGTCCCAACAACGTCCTTTGAATTAATGATTGTTATTGTTTTATAATTTTGGTAAACTTGCCACTAAACTTCTCAAACTATATACTGCATATTGTCTTTGGCCTGGCACCACGCATTCTTATGTAACGAAGGAATCAAAGGAGACCTATGTTTACTGTATGTTTAATCGGTTCTAGTAGCTCAAAACACTTAATGTTGAAATACCACACAGTTTATTCATTTATTCATCTTTCTAATCCATAATCTTATCATTCTGGTTCTTGTTTCAGATCTGTTGATTTAAACGTAGATGTTAATGGTGGGAGGTTATTCTTTGGGCAATTGTATGGTATGTGTGACCACGTGTCGTATAGTTTAGGTAAGTAAAACTAGCAAGTGTAGTCGGACACGGATATTATTTTTTGCTCATCCAGGTACTGTCAAACCATAAACACAACCAGTCAGTTTTATTTTCAAGGGTATAAAAAGTAACGCATTTAAAGGGGAAGTTAAAAGGATTGTATAAATAATTACTTTCTTAACATATAAAAATGATTCAACATGAATAAAAATGTTCCAAATAGCGAAAGAAGAAGGCTATATTGGTTCGGATAGAGGTTTTATGCCAAATTAAGTATATCAGGTCTCACTCCACTAAAACATTTTATGGAAATGATTGATTGTTACGAATGTAGGCCAGGCTACTTTTCTTTCTCTCTCACTTTTGGTGTTTTTGCATGCCAATTTTTGAGTAATATTTGCCTAGGTTTAAAATTTGATGTCTTAAATTACCTTTAAGATTTGGTGAGATAATGAGAGACTTAAAGGCGGAATGATAATTCTAAAAATAGTCGTTTTGTGAACTGCCAAACTCTACCGGATAAGTATAACCGGTAGTAGTCTACTTAGTCTACTACGAATCATTGGGACGTTTTGCCAATTTGTCATGCAATTTCATGACGAATGCATGTGCTGACAAGATATATAGGTAAATCGATACATCGTAATACTATATGCCAATATATATAAGCATATCGCCATAAAATTATATAATGAGAAAGCAGATTTTCCAGATGCCTGCTAAGGTGGCTAGTCGGAGGGCTTTGTGCTGTATGACATCTAACTTATGAAGGAGCATTGGGTTGGCGGTCATGTATGCCTGTGAACCGTAGTCCAAGATAGTCTGGATCAGCGCAAGATAGGTCATCATAGGCGTCACAACATTAGCTCCCCATTCATTGCCAGATATATTCCCCATTAAGTTCAGCACAGTTTGGCATCTGTTTGTGATGTTTTTAATGTGAGGTTCCCATGAGAGTTTTCTATCGAAGGTTACACCAAGTAGGTTGGTTTCACTAACGAATTGAATACGTTCGCCGTCCAATATTAGTCGCATGTCGGTCACCTGGGGGTCTTCACTGACCAACATTCCTACCGTTTTGGCTTTAGATATTCAGAATCCTCAGTCATTTGCCCACTTTGCAAAGCGATCCAAATATGTTTTGATCCGCATTTGAAGGTTCGTGTGTAACGTACCATTCCCCAAAAAGTGCTGTCGTCAGCAAACATCGCGATCTGACATTTGTTTGACAGGTATTTGGATTTGCGGATATCAAGGTGGGGCTAATAACCGAGCCTAGGGGCATGCCATTTTTCCAAACTGAATTCTTCGCTGATACTCCTCTCTATGGTTTTCACGTATCTTCCTGTCCGCAAGAAAACTCGATATCCAGTTGTGCATACGACCACCTATTCCTAGTTGGTGCAGCTTGTGCATCAATCCATCTATCCAGACATCTATTAGGTCTACGAACACTGCACAGAGAGACCCAGAACTGTTCAATGTCTTAGACATTACGTGTTGTAGCCTAACTATGTGATCCATCGTAGATCTAACTTTCTGATCTAGAAAATTATTACTTTCTATCGTTTCGAGGATTTTGCATAACGTGGATGTCAGGCTGACGGGTCTGTAAGACTTTTATTGGGATCTTTCCCTGCCTTTAGGATAGGTATAATTGATGTCGTCTTCCATTTTGTCGGTACGTGGCCATTGGTCCAAGATTCGTTAAAAGAAACCCAGTAGGATTTTCGAAGCTTCGGGGCGTAATTTCTTCAACATCGAGTTCTTGACTTCACCCTCCCCTGCTGCACTGTTTTTTTTTTAGATGAGAGAGCTTTCTGAAGTTCATCAGACGTGCAAGGGAGATTCAGTGGATCGTTTTCATCTATGTGCGTCAACACATTGGAATGATGCACTGCGAAGTTAGTTTTTCGATTTATGAATTCCGCGTCAGCAAAGCTCTCAGCCATGAGGTCTGCCTTCTGTCTATCGCTCTCTCCTACTCTATTCCCAAAGGTTACTACGGGGATTTCGCGGGTAGATTTAGTGCCGTTCATCGATTTGATTTTGGCCCAGACATCCCTGATCTGGGTATGCTGGTTTAGCGTTTGACAGAAGTCATGCCAGTGACTGGTGCGAGCCTCACTGATGACTTCCAAGTAGGCCCGTTTTGTTTCGGTGTTGAGGTTGCGTAATGCTTTCCTTCTAAGCTTTAGTGCTTTTTGGCAGGCGTCCGACCACCAGGGCTTAGGACAAGCCCTGTTTTTGCCAGAGGTTCTGGGGATAGCGTCCTTGGCTGCCTCTAATAGGACCATGGTGACATTGTTGGCGTAGACATCTACATCGATGTCCTGTTTATCCTTTACGTCCCACTGCGAGCTGCTTTCAGTCAATTTCATCCAATCTACCTTTGCGATTCGCCAACGGTTACTCCCCTCTTTATTTGACCCCTGTAAGTGATATGTATTAATAGATGATCACTTAGTCGAACTGACACATCAATCACATTGAATCACCACAGAAGAGTTATGAATCAAGTTAGGCCTCCCATCGTTAAGTATGCACATGTCGTTATCCTCAATGAATTGGAGTAATCCCCTCTCCTCGCTCGTCTTGTTTGAACGAACCCATGCGTTGTGTTTAGAATTGAAGTCACCACATAGCAGGAAATCTGTTTGCATAGGTTTCGATACGAGCTTGGTTCAATGACATTCTTATCAGGCGGCAGATAAACATTGACTATTGCAATTTTGCTTCCATCGGCAAGCGAGATGGACACTCCGTTGACTTCGAACTTGATTTCGGTTAAGCAAGTATTGGATTCAGAATGCTCAGATCAAACATCCTCCTACAATACCTCCTCCTCTCCTTCACTCACTTCCGGGTTGGACTCTGAGTCATAAGCCGTTGTGTTTGAGTTTTTCGGCTTGAGATGCGCACCAGTCCTACTTGAATTTGGAGTTGATGGCACCGAAACGTCCGTTTGGCTACTAGCTGGGATGGAGAGCTCTTTAAAGTTCTCAACAGAGTTTTTGACAGTGTGCCTATCATACCCTCCGCCGGAGTTAGCAGCTGTTGCGGCAATTTCTGCAACGTCCAGCATCAAGTTTTAAAAATTCTCCGCATCCCGGAACACTGGTGTGAAACCAGACCCCTTAGACACTATTGAGGGGACGCTTGTTTCCAATACTGGATTCGACTTTCTTTGGCTTCTCGGCCTTACAAGAATGATCTTTCTTCTGTAGTTTCGTTGCCTTAAAGCCTTCCCATATTTTTACAAGAGCTGTTGCCTCCTTGAAAAATATAGCCATCTTAGCTTTTACCTTTAGTGTGTATTTGACCTTCTTCAACTTGGGTCACCTGCCATGTGCTTTCCATTACAGTTGGCACATTTTGAATCCGATGCCTTGCATGTCTCCGTGGGATGCGCGCCTCCACATTTGCCGCATTTTGATGTCCCCGTCCACGTAGGGGTAGGTATTCCGGATCAGGTAGACGATTCCGATCTGTCTTGGAATCTGCTCTTTCGGGAACGATAATACTACCGTTTCGTCTTCGGCTCCTTCCTTGACTTTGAATCGACGTACACTAGATACGTTATACCCCCTATCATGAAGGTCTTCTAACAAGTCCGCCTCGAAGTGAGCGGATGGTATCCGATACACAACGCATCGATCTTGGCTCAACCGATTGCGGTACCCCCATCCTCGACTTTCTACCGAGTAGGTTGTTCTTTGTAAGTGCGATGTCTGCGCTTTCTCTCGCCTGGAAAGCTAAGCGAACCGATCCATTGTCTAAGATCTTGACCTTTAGGATCCCGGCAATCCCCCAAGATCTAATTTCCCGACCGATTGCTCTTGCCTTGAATCCTTTGAATGTAAGTCCCTCCTCGGGTCTGACAAGAACTGCATGATTGTAGGGCTTGTCTGGCGTGGCTTTGGGAAGGTTTTTGGAGTTGGAGTACTCTTAAACACTTCAGCCATAGTATGTGTCCAATTGAATAAGTATTATGACTGACTAGAGATGAATTCACTAAATCACTAAGAATAATCCAAGATAAAGCGGCTATCCAAATAATTAGTAGTAGTAATCACTTAAATCCAACTCACAAATCACAATTCACAAATAACTAACACTATCCTAATGTTGTCGGGTGGGGATTATGGGTTAAATAACCACACCAAGGGTTCAGTTGACTGGATGTTTATTACGTAACATAGAAATAAAAACCCTGAAAATACAAATAATGCAATTACAATCAGGAAATGAATGAAATATATATATATTAAAACTGAGTAAGAGTTTACTCTTAATAAAACTATAAAAATTTACACCTTATATCTATAAACATATGAAATACGTGAAATTAAGGACATCATGCATAATTACAATATATAAGGACAAATCTAAATACATAATAATATAATATAATAACTAAACCTACCCTGTACAGGGTTTTTTTTTAACTAAAGAACCTGTGGGCAGTAAAGTACCTAACCAGGAATGAAGAAATCTGAAATAAGACGTTTAAAGAAGTTGGAATGCAATATATGTAATGTAGTTATAATAATAGTTAATTGTAGGAATTAATTACTGTATGCATTAGAATTTATAGGATTAAAAGACACTATAAGATATGAAACTTTGCAAATTGCAACATGGCTGCCACCCTAGTAACAAGTATAAACAAAAATACCAAAAGATAGCTTAAATATTAAACATACCTTAATATAAACAAGATTAATCCAGCATTCCAAAAATATATTGAAACAATATACTAACAAAAAGTACACAAAACCATTCCACAGAACACATTAAAGAAGATTCAATGTAAATACAAAGCTACACCACTACCAACATCAGTGTAACAAAACTATTTGAAGAATGACAAAATCACCAACCAGGAAACACTATTCAAAAAGAGTTCACACATAGGAAAAGATTATCTGAGTTAAAGAAAACTCAGATACATAGAAAAGTAGAGTAAAGAAATAGAGGCAGTGAAGTGAAACTTAAAGTGACTATTAGTTAATACT